ATATATATATTGTACAGTATGAAAGTAATTATTAACATTTATAATTTTGTGGGTTTGTTCTGAGCCACTTGCCATCCTTATATTTTCCCCCAATTTAGTTTAGGCCATGGATTATGACACAATTTTTTTTACAGCCCCAGGCTTAGGTTTGGGCTCAAACCCTAAACTTTTGTGGCAGGCTTAGAGATGGGCTTATTCACTACAAGCTTCGTGCCGAGCTTAGAGTTGGGCTTAGTTGGATTTCAGTCAGGTTACAAGGAATATCTTGAAGACCAAATTAGACAACTACCAAGAAAAAGGTGACAACAATACCAATAAGAGATAGGGAAACAGAATGAGAAAACTACGCCAAACCTCCCACTTGGGTATCACAAATAAAACATAGTACAAACCAACATTGTAATAAGTTCAATAATAGTTTATATTTTAAAGTTTGAATTCAAACTTTTGATGTAGTTTCAAAGTCTAATTTATCTTTTGACTCAATCCTAACGTAGACAGGCTTAACGAAATGATGGTTTTATGCTAACATTGCTAAGCAGACATATATGTTCTCACAAATTTGTTAGTGAAATTAGATATAGACACATGGAAGGAATGTACCAATTTTTGTATTTTTCTCTTAACTAATATGTTAGACAGATTTCGTTATTGGTGTTTTGGAATAAATTTTGATGAAAAGAATATGAAATGTGTGATAGTTTTCCGAACTTATATTTTACTTAAAGTAGCTCATTTTTGTTAATCTCTTAAAAGCGTACTTTAAAATATTTAAACAAATAAAAACTAAAAGGTTAAATTGTATGAACACAACTTAAGCAAAATGCTGAGTTGAGAACACGAAATTGACGTTTAAGTTGACTTGGCAGTTGATGTAATAATACTACAAATTGTATCTTAATTTTCATATATTATAAATAACATTTTAAAATAAATTGTAATTCCTCTTGGATTGAATGGTAAAGAATTTAAATCTAATCAAGTAAAATCTTAAATTTAACTCTTCTAAGAAAACAAGGCATGCTTCTTAAGTGGGCTCAGTCCACTTGAGTTGGATTTGTCGATTCCGAATTTCACCTGTCTTGAACTTTCTATTTACAATAAACAAAGTTTGAATCACTCAAAGTGGTAGGTTTTAAAATTGATGTATTTAAATGATTATGACAATAAAGTTAAGCAAAGAACGGTTTAAAAGATAGACCAGTTTAGTTCCCAAACAAATTATTGGATTGATTGATTTGATTTCATATTATCATGTACATTTAACATCTTGATTAGGGAAAGTATTGATTTGTGACTCCTTCTCTTTATTTTGTTTTATTTTTATATTGATTATTATATTCATGTATCTATTATAAGTAATTATTTTTGGAAAAGGTAACCCCTATTGAATAGGGGGTGTTCATGATTCATTCCATTTCACTAATTTAGCCAGTTAATTTAAACGAATTTTCGATGAATTTACATTTAACAAATTAGATTTGGTGTATTTTAAGGGCAAGTTCGATTTATCTTTTGGATCATTTCAATTTAATCCACATCTTATATTTAATAATTATTAAATAATTATGTATTAATAATATAACTTCTTAGATTACTAAATTATGTTTTGTCTAATATAATGTTTTATTGAAATACATGTAATGTGTAACATTGTATTTTTTTGTTAATTATTGGTGTTTTTATCAATAATTATATGTTGTGATAATTTTGGGATTGAGTGTTGAGGAACTCTAAAAGTTAAGAAATTCTTGAGGAGTTTTAGGTTGAGTTGTCAAAATGAGTCATAACTCGGGAGCTAACCCAACCCATCACATGTTCGAGTAGGTTTGGGCTAATTTTTTTATACAAATTTTAGTACTGCTAAAAGTTCATCCTAACCCACTAAGAATCTAGCACATTCGAGTTCAACCCATGGTGACTGACTCACCAACCCACTAATGCAAAAAAATAAAAATAAAAACAAACCTACAGGCCACAACCCATTGACATAAAAAAAATTCACAGTCCAATGAGCCTAACCCACGAAGGTCACACACACAAACAAATTTGATTGGACAAATTTTTTTATTTTTAAAAAATGAATTTTTGGCTAGACGTATATTTAAAACAAAAATTTTCAAAATGAATATTAAAAAAAAAGATTATGGCTGGAACTATTGGAGTGCTAAACATTAGAAAAAATAATTTTCTTTTATTTTTTTTTAAATTAAGTGAGTCAACTCATTTATTTAACCTACTAACCTATGGTGGGTTGGATCAAATTCATTTTTTGTAAGCTCATTAAAAGGTGAGTCAAATTGGGTTGGCCCACCTATTGGCCAACTCGTGGTTGGCTAGGTTGAGCAAGCCAGGTGGTCCATTTTGACAACTCTAATTTTAGGTTTTAGAGGGTTTCTTAGGAAAGATGTCCAATTTGACTATGAGGGAGAAATATATAAGGTTTCTTTTGAGAATTGAGTTTTCATAAGTTCATTCTCAAGATTCCTAGAGAGATAAACTAGAAAGATGAGCTATGAGATTGTGAAAATCTTTATCTTTTTTTTAAGCTTCTCGAGCATGAATAAGAGATCATTGTTGATTAGTAGAGTGGTGATTCAAAGCTATTGGAGTTGAGAATCAAGTAGTAGAGGTGTTGTGTGAAGCTTCCCGGAGCTCAAAGTTCTTTTCTTCCTATTTTCCAATGTAATTTTGAGGTAAGGAAAGCTAAAACTTGGGTCTTTGTTAGATGATTGAGTTGCATGTACCTTGAATTCATTGAATGCGTGATTTTATGGATGATTCTAAGGTGGGGATTGTTAATTGTTGAAACTTGGTGTTTTGAACTTATGAAGGTGAATTTTGATGATTGATCTTGGTTGTTGTTATTGTATATTGCTATTTTGGGGTAGAATAAGTTGCTAATGGTGTATATAAATGATATATTACATTACATGCTTGGTATCTTTTGAGTATCAGGTGGAGTGAACCATTTTTGTGAATATACAAGTGTAGAATTCACCATCACACCAAGCACACCTTCATGGCACTAAACATGACTCAAACTAGGAGCCCTTCGTCTTTTTCACATTGGGTGTGAAGAGATAGAATTGTCTCTAACTTAGTCACATTGAATGTTAAGTTGAATGGCGTCGAGCTTGAGGAGAGAGAATCATTTCTACCTAGATTAACATTGGGCACCAACGGAATGGCATCAATACGTGCATTAGGTTGAGACTCTATCTAAAATGGGGCCAGATGTGGGTTTTTTCGCATCATACGTGAGAGCATATGGGTTTTTTACATCATTCATGTTAGGCATGAGATGAATGACATTGGTGAGTATGAGGCAGAAAACTCTTTGTCTCAATGATGTCAAGTGCAAGGTGTATGGCAGCGAGTGTGGAATGCATTGTGAAAACTTGTTGCTTGCTTTATTAAATGGTGAACATGGATAGGTTGGATGAATCTATTGCATGTTGTATGTTGATAGGTGATATTTTTTCTATGTATATTAATTTGAGATTTTATACTATTAAATTGTTGAGGTGTCATGCTAAGAATGTTTTAGGCATGATATGTCGAACATTGTTGAACTATTGATACATTGATGTTGAGAGTGCTTTAGACATTTAGGCATGATTGTTAATTGGCTCATGACTAAAGGAAATGGTATTTTCAAAATTTGGATATCCCATTGTGAGAATATTGGTGTGATGCTCTTGAGCCTAGTTGTTGGAAAACCCTCCTTGAGTAGGCATTATTTCTTGGAGTGGGTTGTTGAGTCTCCTCTAGGTTCTTAGTCAATATTTAGTAAGGTATGAAGTTAATGGTTAAACTCTTAATTGATTACTGGAAAGATGTGTGATATCACGAGGATAATTAACGAGTTAAATCCATAAATGACTTGGTTAATACATGTCAATGTTATGGTCGACACACACCCAAACTATGTTATACCTGACGGTGGTACTAGACTTTCCTAATTTAAATGACGACATCAAATAAATTATGTTGTAGGGATT